CATGACACAACAAGGAGTATTTTTCTCACCTTAGTCACGGGGACATGGCCTAAAGAAATAAGGTCTGATGCCTGATTTCTGCCATCCAGCCTGCAAAATGGTAGGTGGAAAGGAAAGCATTGTCGCCAATTCTCCAACTACATCCCACCCTGATGTCTCAGCTGTAACTTCTCCTTCGCAAACCTCCATACTCCTTCTCTGGCAAATCTCCCCGCTTGCACATGGGGTTCCATCAATTTCAAGCTTCAAAACTTGGGTCACAATGGCAAAAAATTTGGATAGCACTGTATTCTGAACATGTGTACCTTAATATTTGTTGACTAAATGTTTCTTTTTGTACTTGTGTAAGGCGGCTTGATGGAAAATTCTGTTGCTGCATCACTTCTTTTAACCAAATGCTTAAATAGGTAAAACAGTGCTTGTTCAAAGCAAACAGTATGTCTGCAAAATGATCCATCAGACTCCTTGGGGCCTGTCCACCAATAGCCTGGGAAACAAAAAAGAAATGAAATTAATTTTATCAGTGGAAGCAAAAATCAGAACTTTCATTAAAAAGCATAATAACAGATTAGAACTCACATTTAATTTGTGATTGATTATTACAACAGAATACGTAGCACACTAAAAAAGGTACAAATGTGACAACTTACCAAATAATTTTACAGGAAAATATAAAATTATGCTATGCACTGGGGAGGGAGATGGCAAATAATATTAAAAACTATCAAGGTTTTTTTTAATTCTACAACCTTGTGATCTCATGATGGGTGCTTTACCAGCAATTAAAAAAAACCTCATTTATATAGCATCTTTCATGACCATTTTTGATACCACGAGGTAAGTGCAGTTACTCCTGTAGTGTAGGAAACATGGCTAACAATTTGTGCACAGTTAGCTCCCAAAAACAGTGTGCTAATAACCAGATAACCTGGTTTTGGGATACTAATTGAGGAATAGATACTGGCAATAATTTTGTTGCTAAGTCCCCAACATTTTACTGAAACAGTGTCATGGGACATCAATGTATCACTCTCTCAGAATTACACTGGAGTATCAGCCTTGATTTTTGAGCTCAAGTCCTGGAATAGCACTTTTTGAGGCTTGAACCTTTGAGTCAGGGACAACAATGCTACCAATTGAGCCACTTGGTGTTTCCTCCACCCCGAAAGGCAAATACATAATTACAGAAAAGTTATTTACTGATCACACAAATGGTTGCTTGCTACTGGTTGGTTTGGGGAGTTTGTTTTTATTCTGCTTTTCTGCGCCTTCGTGTAAAGGTTAAAGGTTAATATATGGATTAAAAGTGCATGCTTGATTAGCACTGAATTAACAAAGGGCACAGCTTCACAATAAAGGAGGATTCCATTTGCTTTATTCTTAACGGTTACACTTTTACCAGAACAATCTAATGCTGATCATATTGCCTGCTGTTTGCTCAAAGTAGTGTGTTTTCCATAGAAATTCATTTTGGAGATATGGGCATTACTAGTAAGACATATTTATTGCCTTACCACTGCTTGCCCTTTAGAAAGGATTGTCAGATCATTTTTCTGAACTATTTGAAGTCTAAATGGTAGAAGTATTTTCACAAAGCTAGAAAATAGGGAAATCCATGATGTTGACTCAACATGTTGAAGTAAAAACATACTCCCATGCATCAACTGCCTTTCTCCATAGACGATATAAGTCACAAGTTTGAAATGAAATCTCGACAAGTTGCTAGAATATATCCTATAGATAGGAAACACTGTAACCATGGTATGTGATGGTACAATGACAGCACTAAATTCAGAGTGTTTTGTCCCAGATGGGGTTGAACTTCACAAATGCCGAAGTAACTGCATCCATCCACACTACTGGACAGCATTCCATCACTTGTGAGATTTGTAACCAGAAGAAAACAGTAAAATTGGTGAATGAGACATGAGATGTATGATGTGACCTGCTCTGTATACTTCAAAATGGATGACCAGTATTATGAGCGCATTCATTTCCAAGTATTACGGATTTTCTTTTAACTATTTCCATCTTCTGGGTAGGTGGCAGAGAACTCTCCAGAAGACTATGAGTGTGCTGCTTCCTGCAAATAGCAAATGGCAACGGCCTGTTCCAGTGACCATGTCAATTAGGTGAATGGTCCTGCTGAGATTTTGGTTAACTGTTGGAGGCTTGCTGATGTTTATACAACTTAATGTGAAGTGGAGGTGGTTGGACTCTCTATTACTAATAATTACCTGATACTTGTACCTGATACAAAGCATCTTCGCCACTTGTCAAATAACAGCCCAACCATGGATTTTATTCACAGACTGCCTAATTGTGTGAAATTGTGTATCAAGCTGAACACAATGCAATTGTAAATTGACAGCCCAACTTCTGTCCTGATGATAAATGGAAAATCATAGTCAAAAAGGAGCCAGAGCGCCTTGGACATCAGATTAAAACCTTCCCATAACAATGTAGTGAGACTGAAACGATAGGCTTCCAGTGGTCACAATCACCTTCCTCTGTACATGTTTGATGCCATGTATTGGAGAATTGGGCCACAGATAGTACTGACCTGTTTTACTAAGACTTCTCGGTGTTATATTGACACAAACTGAAAGCTGACAATTCAGTTGTTGGTTTATCCGCTCTTCTCTTAAAAGATGCAGTGATATTTGCCTCAACTACATCCCATGGAAAGACATTGCATGCTCATGTAACTCACACGTATGGCCATTGCTCTTAACATTTCTTTGTAACTACAGGGATCATTTTTGGCTGATTATCCATTGTCACCAATATTTCTACCAGGGGAAATAATCCCTCTTCTTTATCAAAGCTCTTCATGATTGTAAAACTACTTCAGTGGAAATAATGCTAGCATTGAACTCTCCAAATGACCAAATTTATATCTCTGGCATCATCATGGTGAACGCCCATGCTGCTAACCTGCTGATAACCAATGATTCATTGCCAAATGATTGTCAGGTCAGATCATTCTGATCCCTATTGATGCCATTTTAATCAAATGACCACATTGGAGAACACCATTTTTCATGGCTACTTACTTCTAGAGTTGCTTGTAACAAGAGTTTTCCATTTTCATGGACAACTAAGCCAATAGGTTGTACTTCCCGACAACGTGGCAGTAGCTCAGTCTAACAGAGGAAATGGAAAAAAAACAAAGTTCATTGATAACTGATTTTTTCAATGACAGGCAGCATTGTGAAATGATGCCATTGCAAAGTGATTGTGAATGTATTTCATGTTATTATGTTGAGAGTCATCCCAAACATAAATGATTCACTGCATTCAATGTATTTACACCACTTTATACTATAAAGATAATTTGTTACAATTATGAGGTTTAAATGTATTTAATGTGTTTCAATTTAAGACAAAAAAATGAAAGCAGTTGTGTCAGTCGTCTTGAAGTCTGTCTGACAGGCAAGTTTGAGTGCTCTGATTGTTAGAAGTTAATGGAGCCAGACTCCCTTGGAAAGCGTTTGCACTTAGTAGATTGTCTGTTTTTGGAGACGAGAATACTTGGTTGCAAGTAGGTGCTTACTTCCAAAGATAAAGAGAGTTCTGCTTTCAAAAACAGCTAATCAGCATTCTACCTGGATACAAAGCCCATTGTGATTCACAATGCCATGGAGATAGCCTTTGAGAGGGTAGAATCTAGAACACGCCTGAGAATTCTCTGACAAAGAACCTGAGAGAGAGAGCAGCAAGAGGCTGACTGATTCTGTGGTTCACTACTCAGGCTCAGATGGTGCAAACAGCAATTTCGAGTGTTAAATATATTTTCAGACTAGCTCTAGTCAAACAAGCACCTACATTAAGAACAGCAACAGAGCGCCTACATTAGGGATAGTGTAACGTATCTAATAATGGAACTTTTCAGTTGTGCAATAAGTTATATTGTGTGGTTTAAAGTATAAGTTACCTAGAAAGACAGCATTTAGTCAATGGTGCTTTTAGTCTGTTTGTTACCATGAATATCAAAAAACCTTGTTGTGTAATCAATATTAATAATATTCATAAGTATGAGCACTTGTAAGTCAGATGCTCATGAATTGGTTACCCCCTGTATCTGGTTTTAATTTTGATTGATTTTCTCCAGAACTGTCAAAAACAAAATATTTTGAAGCTTGTACTCCATCAATAAGAAAGTCGCTGTAAAATCTTAAACTGGAAATGGAACATGTTCATTGTCAAGTTGACATACGTACATTGCTACATTAAGAGTCATCTCTGTGAATAATATTGTACATTTGATGTCTTAGAATATTTGATATGTAGATGTAATAATAATAATTAAAGTAGGATATTAATTGAGTGGTTTCCATCTAAGTTGCTAATTTAATAAAAGATAAAGTGAAAATGTTGAATTCATTAAAAAAAAAGTGTATCAAGCAAATTGCCATAAAAGCAGATTTTAAATATTATAACATGATTACCACGACGTTATGCTTCAAAGGTACGACCATAATATAGAGATAGTGGGAACTGCCAATGCTGGAAAATCTGAGCTAACAAGGTGTAGAGCTGGATGAACACAGCAGGCCAAACCGCATCGGAGGAGGATCAAAGGATTTTCTTTTCTGAAGAAGAGTCTAGACCTGAAACGTCAGCTTTCCTGCTCCTCTGATGTGGCTTGGCCTGCTGTGTTCATCCAGCTCTACACCTTCACCATAATATAGATTGTTTTTTTCTCAATCACTTAAGTACAGGATCACGATAGTCTATTATAATTAATAAAATGATAACTGTGAAAGGTGAAAAGTCCGTGTTTTAATGACAAGTAGTTTTCTTACTGACCTATGATTAACTTCACACTTTGAATAACCACAATATCTTGTGATCAAGCATGCCAGATATGATAAAGAGACACTTTTCTTCCATTCATATATTTAACATAAGCATGCCTTTTCACTAATATTAGCTAGAAAATATATTTTACATCAATACATCATAATATGAGGTTTTCATATTAAAACTGCTTTTGAGTGACTTCCCTGATGTCTGAGCACCAAATTGTTCAATCCCTTAGTCTGGGAAAACAAGGTGGAACCCTGAGCAGATAGAAACAGAAAGGACATAGCCAGGGTTTCCACTTCTGAAATGGTCTATGTAGATATTGGCCCAGATTTTGCTGTAATTACTCCTCACAGTCAAATAGTAGCTAACTATTCAAGCTCACAGGAAAAAAAAAGCAGTTGAGATTTGCTAATTAAAGCCTAGTTACTGCAATTAATTAAAAAGTAAATGTTTTAGAACGAAGATGAGGTAAATGTCAAAATGAATAATCTCTTTAGGTACGTATGTTCACAATATTATTTTGATGTTTTTCTTGCTTTGTCATCACATTTGTGCTGGGAATCACCTAACATTGTAAAGTAATAGTTTATCATACGTTTTCACTTATGGACATGCAGTAGGATGGCTTGTAAAAAAAGCATGTACGAATGAAATGAGGTACAATGTATTGACTTGTGGATATAATTGGACTAACATACTGGAACTAAATTCCCTAAATGTAATGAAAACAAAATGCTGGAGATAATCAATAGGTCCAGCCACATTTGTGGAAGACGAAACAAAATTAATAGAGCCAAACTGCCTTGCAAGGTATTTGCACTTAGTGCACAGGCTGATGCCACTGTCTACTACAGCAGATAGTGTGTTTATAGACCGAACTCCTCTCAGAGCCCATCTTGCCGGTCCAACCACATTTGAGGAAGAAGAAACAAAATTAATATTTCAGCTCAATGATCCTTAATCATGACAAAGTTAGAAAGGTTTTAAATTTGCCCAATGAGGAATAAGAATGCATAGGTCTGCGATGGGGCAGATAATGAGAAGACTTTAAATGACATTAAGAGTTAATGGGCACAGCCAAAGGAAATGGCAGTGAGACAAGTAAAAAAAATAAAAGATGTGACCAGAGGTGGTGTGAATGGCAGAAAAATGAACAATTGCCAAACAGAAGCAAAAATCAAGATTAAAATTGACACATGCAAATAAAAGAAAACAAAATGGGGAGCAGAGATTATAGTTAAAATTGTTGAATAATGATCTCATATAGATAGACAATAATTAATCAAGTAACAGCACAACAAAGAATACTTACAAAGAAGGCACACGCTGCTTTCACTGTTGGGGCTTCTGGAAATTTCAAAGATAGGACTCCTTGGATAAAAAGCAGACGAATTGTAGGTCAGTTATCAACTTCTGCACTGGCACATACACAGACACACAAACAAGCCAAGGGCATAATGAAAGCCAATAAAAGACTCTTCCTTTTATGCAAGGTTGTACATTTACTTACTGCTTTATGTTGTCACAACAGTAATTTTGTATTTCAAATCAGTCGCAAGAATGGCTAAGCCTAGATGTAACAGCTAATGAGCAATGAATAAGGTTTTCTTCATTCCGAACTACTAATTGAATGCTGAAACTCAAAGGAATGCACCAACGAAATTAGTTATATCCTCCCCACTTGTAGATTTGCTCCAGAGTTAGGCCCATATAGCTTGTTTGTAATTTTAAGCTCATGGCCAGTGGAATTGTTAACAAGCAAATAACTGAGTTTTATGACAAGTCCCAAGAAGGGAAGACATTTCTTTTCCTGAAATAAAAATAGGAAATGCAAAAATAAATATTCAGCAGGTCAACCAGCATTTGTGGTGAGAAAGAGAGTTAACGTTTCAGGTTGCTGATCCTGAAGAAGGATCAGCAACTTGAAACATAAACTTTGTTTCTCTCCACAGATGTCAGTATTGCCCCTTAACATTCAATGGCACTGCCATCACTGAATCCCTCCCTAGCAACATTTGGTGATTACCACTGACCAGAAACTGAATTGGGCCAGCCATATAAAAGCTGTAGCTACAAAAGCAGATCAAAGCAGGTTACTCTATGGTGGGTCACTCAACTCCAGACTCCACATTACCTGTCCACCATCTATAAGGCACAAGTCAAAAGTATAATAGAAACCTCTCCACCTGGACGGTGGAGTGCAGCTCCAAGAACACTCAAGAAACCAGGCAACTTCCAGGACGACATCAGAAATTGCTGGAAAAACTCAGCAGCTCTGGCAGCATCTACAGAGAGAAAGCACAGTTAATATTTTGGGTCCAGTGACCCTTCTTCAAAACTGATTGCAGTTAGGAAAATGTTGGTATAGACACTGAAGATGGAGACCGAGGAGGGTGAAGGTGTAAATGATAGGTGGAGATGGAGCCCAGAGAGAGAAAAACAGTTGGGCATGCAAAAGAATGGGTAAAGGTCAGCCTGGGAGAATGAATAGCTGCTCTTGGGAACCATTAGTAGCTGACAATGGGTTGTTAGTGGCAGCAGCCCATGTGATGACAAGGCCTAGTGAGTGGGGCTGTGGTAATAATATGGGAGAAGGTGTTCATACCCTAAAATTTTTGAACTCTATATTCAGTCCAGAGAGTTGCTGTTCTTCCAGCTTGTGCTGAGCTTTGCTGGAGCACTGTCTCAGGCTTGCTACAGAGATGTCAGCCAAGAAACATAGTGGTGTGTTGAAGTGACAGGCAACCAGAAGCTCAGGGTCACTTTTATGGGCAGAATGTGAGTGTTCTGTGAAGCAGTCTGCGCTGCTTCTCCTCATTATAGAGGGGGACCACGGTGTGAGCTGCAAATACAGTAGACCGGATTGAGTGAAGTGCAGGTAAATCGCTGTTTTACCTTGGTGGTATGTCTGGGGCTCTGGACAGCAAGGAATGACGAAGTAAACAGGCATGAGTCACACTTACTGCAATTACAGAGGTGGTGTTGTGGGGGTGTGGGCAGGTGTTGAGAATAGAAGATGAGTAGACCTATGCTGGAGGGAACGGTCCATGCAGAAAACAGACAAGAGTGGTGGGGGGGAAAGAGGGGGATGTGTGTCTGGTGGTGTCTGGCATATAAACCAACCTTTTCCTAGCCTCAATCAAACAGTTCTGAAGAAGGGTCATTGGACTCGAAATATTAACTCTGACTTCTCTTCACAGATGCTGCCAGATCTGCTGAGTTTTTCCAGCAATTTCTACACTTTGTTGCCAATTTGCAGCATCCACAGTCCTTTTGTCTTTTTTTGTCTACCAACCAGGACAAAGCAGCCTGCTTAATTGACACCACATCCACAAACATTCACTCCTTCCATCACTGACACTCAGTAGCAACAGTCTACACCAACTACAGAATGCAGTGCAGCGACTTGCTGGGACTCCACTAACAGCATCTTCCAGACTTGCAACGTCCATCTCCTAGCATGACAGGGTGGCAGATACGCAAGACAGCATCACCTCCAAGGTGTGTATCATCCTGATCTGGAAATATATGGTGTTCCTTCACTATTACTGGGTCAAAATTCTGGAACTCCCATCCTAACAGCATGATGGACGTACATACACTCCTAGCACCGCAAAGTTCAAGAAGGTATCTCACCACCACCTTCTGTAGGGCAATCAAGAAAGGGCAATAGACGCTGGCTCAGCCTAAGCCTACATCCTGTGAATGAAAATTAAAGACAGAACACAAGCAGCAAAAGATGGTCACGTGGCCCCTTAAGACCGTCATCCAACAAAATCACAGTTGATTTTGGCATCAACTCCACTTTACTGTCTGATCCTGAAAGTTAAAGAATCTGTCTCACTTGCCCTTAAATCTGTTCAGTGATACATCCTGCACAGTTCTTTGGGTTATGAATTCCAAAGATTTGACAACACAAAGTAAAAAAATTTCCTCATCTCAATCTTAAATGCAGGGCCACTTATTAACACAGAAACATAGAAGATAGGAGCAGGAGGCGGCTATTCAGCCTTTCAAGCCTGCTCCACCAATCAACACAATCATGACTGATCGTCCAACTCAATAGCCTAATGCTGCTTTCCCCCAGTAACCTTTGATCCCATTTACCCCAAGTGCTATATCTAGCCACCTCTTGAATACATTCAATGTTTTGGCATCAACTACCTCCTGCAGTAATAAATTCTACAGGCTCACCACTCTTTGGGTGAAGAAATGTCTCCTCATCTCCATTCTAAATGGTCTATCCCAAATCGTCAGACTGTGACCCCTGATTCTGGACACACCCAGCATCAGGAACACCCTGTCTAGTCCTGTTGGAATTTTATCTGGATCTACTCTACATAGCTCTAGATTGTTCACAATGGGGGACCTCTTCTGTATCTACCCTTTCAAGCTCTTTCATAAACTTCAACTTCTTCAATAAGTTCAACCCTAATTTTTCTCAACTCCAACGAATACGTGCCGAATTATTATTTGCTCAAAGTAATGCCTTCATTTCAACCTAGTCTGTACAGCCTCCATGCAAGAATATCCCTGCTCAAATAAGGAGACTAAGACTATATATAGTACTTCAGATGTCTCATCAATGCCTTGAACACCTGTCACAAGAGTTCCTGACTGTTATTCTCCTTACAATAAAGATCAAGATCCCATTTTCTTACCTAATTATTTGCTGTAACTTTTTGTGTTTGAGGTCTTCCTGGTCCTTCTGTACTGCAGCATTCTACAGTTTCTTGACTGACATAATACCCTGTTTTTATATTGCTCCTACAGGAAAAGGGATAACCTCTAATTTTCTCACATTATATTCCATTTACCAATTTTTGTCTTATTCATTTAACCTCTTCTCACCTGTCTCTCTGCTGTTAGAAAGTGCAGCTACAACATGCCCAAGCTCTTCATTCAAGTCATTAAAATTGATTGCAAATAGTTGGTGTTTCAACACTCGCCTCTGTGGCAGACTGTTTGTTACAATTTTCCAACTAGAGGATGACCCATTTATTTCAACTCTGCTATCTTTTGTTAGGCAATCTTCATACCATGCTAAATATATAATCCTCAATGTCAAGAGGTCTTTCTTACGCAGCAACTTCAATATGGAGCCTTGTCAAATATATTTTGGAAATCCAAGTACTGAGCTCTCATTTAGTCATCCTGCACATTGGAGTTCTTTTGAGAAAATAATAAATACCAAGATAGCAAGAACTGCAGATGCTGGAGTCAGAGATAACAAAATGTGGAGCTGGAGGAACACAGCAGGCCAGGCAGCATCAGAGGAACGGGAAAGCTGACGTTTCGGGTCGGGTCCCCAAAGACAAATGATGAGTTAATAAGAAGGCTCTGTTTTCTGACACAGAGGGGCATGTGCAGTACGCTCTAGGGAGATGCTTTTGCAAGCACTAGTGCATGGGATTTATTGAAAAGTGACTGCATGCACATCTTTATCACTGGGCTGGCTGCCAGCCAATGAAAATTTCTTCCCTTCTTCTGCGTTGCAGGTGGAATGTCAAACTTCTGTGCATGCTTGGCTCAAGACACGTGCAGTCAACTGGGCTGTCTGGTGTTGACAAACACAGCCTATTAGAAGGGTTTAGCTGGCACCAGAAAGGTGACAATGATATTCCTGCAGGTGAGCAGACTAAATGCAGTCTTATGGCAAATGATTTATGCCAATTGTTCTGTACATGAGGAATTCCTCATTTGGCTGAGATGTTTATAAGAAATGCGTGTAGAGGTTGGTCATTTTTCCCGAGGGAAAGAGAAAATGTATACACCCTTTAATGCCTGTTGCAAATGGTCAGGCATGCTGTAGCCAGTTAGCATTATTACTGACCCAATACACATTGATAATTGTGCCTTCTCAGTTAGAAAATGATGCACAGAGTGGAGAAAATACAATAACAATATAGATCTAAAATGGTAACTCTTACAAAGAATGAGAATGGGCAGAAATGACTGAACGTTTTACTTTTAAGCTTTTATAATTCTAAACATGAATCATTCTTAACAGAAATAATTGTTTACTACTTGGTCTAACCAAAGTATTTCCAGCCATGTGATTTCAGGGATTTTTTTTCTAAAAATATATGTTTCTAAAATTTATTTAAAAGACGTGGTCATCATTGACGAGGCCAGCATTTATTGCAGTTACATTATAAGTCCTTCCCACTACTTAGGCAGTTGCAACATTCCAAGATGATCTGCTTCCATAGTCCAATGCTGGATGTGCACACTGGTACATACAAGAAGAATCAGGTAGGTAGAAAGCACACTCCTTCCACTATTTGCCCCAGCCTCCACCTGGGCCTGTTTGATGCTGGAGTTGGAACCTTCATAAATGCTTCTTCTCCAGATTGGCTGGTTTGGACAAGTTAGTTCTCGAGTCATTAGAGATATTTAATTTTTTTCAGGGACGTCTTGAGGATGTCCTGAAAAAGTGTTATATCTGCAATCCTGGTAACTTCTGCTTTTGGAGTTTGAGGTAGAAAGCTCCAGTCTTTTCAGATATGCAGATGACGTTAGCCCAACGCAGCTAATAGAGAACCTTTGAAACTGCTGTTAGATTTGCAAGATTTTGAGGAGGCAACACTGGTAATGTTTTGAGATACCTGCTGTATATTGTCCCTGTCTCCAATGCATAAAGACAGGCAGCACACACTGTCTCTCGATATAGGTCTGATGCAGAGTTTAAGACCTTTGACATCAAACACTCTGCCTTAGCCAGCTAAAGGCTGCGCTGGCACAGTGGAGATGATGATGATTTTTATTATCAATGTCAACCTTTGCTGAAAAAGGGGTTCTCAACATATGAGAATTGGCTCCTTTATGACCAGGCCATTTTGACTCAAAACCAGTATCGATTCACTGTTTCAAGAGGACTCAACACAATGGTTCCCTCCTCAACAGATGTACGGGAACGCTACCTGATGTACGGGAACATAATCACCAGCAAATTCACCTCCAAGTCACTCACCGTCCTGACTTGGAAATATATCGTCCTTCCTCCACAATCACTGGGTCAAAATCCTGGAATTCCCTACCTAATGGCATTGTGAATTCCCTATAGCACATGGACTGCAGCAGTTCAAAGTGGCATCTCACCACCACCTTCTGAAGGACAACTAGGGATGGGTAATAAAATGCTGGCCAGCCAGCAAGGTTCCCATCCCATGAGTGAATAAAAACCCTGTGCCAAATGCCCAGTAGCAGAGTATCCTTCCGGCAACATGACAGACTCTATCAAAAAGGGTGGGAACATTCATGGAACCACCTGTTCCCTTTCATTGTTGGCCACCAATTATGATTGGAAGCAAAATTACATCATGTAAATCTTAAATCTGTACTTCAGCAACGAAAGGTAGATTATGTAACTCGGCTATTATAAGGCCGAACTGAACGTCCAGACGTGTTTCTGAGATCAATTACTCAGATCAATAATTACTGTTTTAATAATTTGCTTTCGTTCAAATTTTACAGTTTAAGGAACAAGATATATATAAAAATTGTAAACCATTCTTGATCTTGTATTTTTTTTTAAAACCTTTTCTTGCCTTAAAATCACAGGACATGAAATTAGCTTATGGGCACAGATCATGTAGCATTTACACATACATTGCAATGGACAATACTAAACAGATAACAATTTGCAGCCAATCCATGGACATGATCGAAAGACTATAGAATCTCTGGAATACCTCTGCTTGTGGAACAGCACAGAGCTCAAAGGATACAGAAGCAGCAGAGAAAAGCAGGATGTCTATAATATAGTAATCTAAACAGCTGTTACACACTTGAATTCCATCAAAATTATTAGGCATTCCCTCTAAATTTTGCATTTTACTTGCCAACTTCCAAATTTATGAAATGCTACAGCACAATTTGGGTCTTAGTAAACATGAGGAGCAAAGATCACCATACAAAAATTTAAAAAGCCAAAAAAGATTTAAAGACTAGTCATGACATCAAATATGTTAAATATTTCTATTACTTACCACATTGAAACAAGGCCTTCACATCACAGTTCTCTGCTAAAAACAAATCAGGTTTCCTTTTGAGAGCCTAGGAATTAGATACAAAGCTTTGTTAACAAGTTCATAAATGACTGACTGCAGTTTCCCCATTGAATCATTATGACCGAGACCATCCTTCATCTGTTGTCCCAGTCTTTATGGTCTGATTGGTACCAGAGTGCTAGGCTATAACATATCAGAAAGCCATAAATAACAACATGTCCCTTGCTGATACCATATACAGCATTTTCTTAACCAGCCCATAATAGGGACATATTTCTGCATTGGGAGGGAGCAAAATATTTAACATGGGGACATGAGGCAAGAGAGAGAAAAACAAAAAAACAGATCAAATATCCATTTTTCCTCCAAAATGAAGTGGGACAGAATAGATTGTAAAATAATTGCTTGGAATGTTATATAACATATTTTTAAAACAAAATCAGGTATTTTAAATATAAATGTAAATATATTACAAATCAAGTTCTCCAAGCTCATTACAGAACATAAAAATAAATCATGGTCAGACAGAAAAATTACTGCGAATGAAATAATACTGTGCTGGAAACATTAACAATCTGTATTGATACTACATCTTTAACATAGTAAAATGCCTTAAGGTGCTTCAAAGGAGCACTGTAAAAGCAAAATGAGATTAAGCTTCATGAGAAAATGTTAGCGCAAGTTACAAACAAATTGGTTACAGAGGTAGGCTAGAAGGAATGGTTTTAAAGGAGAAAAGAGATATACGGAGGTACAGAAATTGAGGGAGGGAATTTCACAGCTTAGGGCTGGGTAGCTGATGGCCCCAGCACCAATGGCAAAGCATTTAAAATAGGTGCAATCAAGTAGCCAGAACTTAAAGGAGTGTGGATATCTCAAAGGGTTACAGGCTGCTGGAGATTACAGAGATTGAATGGGGATGAATAGGATAATGGAAGGATTTGAAAACAATGATGAGCATCATTCAATTGGGAGCCAATGTAGGTCTTCAATATTGGGGTGATAGGTGAATGCAACTTGCAGTATGTTGGACTTGGGCAGAAATCTAGATAATGGAATGTGGGATGACATACGCAAGTGTGTTGGAATGACCAAGAATAAAGCTAACCGAGGTGGTGAGTGTCTCAATGGGCTGCCAAAGGTAATGGTGGAAGCGAGTACAATTTTTTCATTTAAGAAACATTTAGACAGGTCCATAAACGAGATGGTTATGGATGGATATGGACCAAAAGCAAACAAATGGGACTTGTTTAAATTGTGAAAAACTGGGCCGCATGGACAAGTTGGGCTGAAGGGCCTGTTCTCATGCCACAGACCTCTACGACTCTAAAGGCATTAATGAGGATTTTAGCAGAAGCACCAAGACAGGAAGGAAGGCAGGTAATGTTGAGGAAGATAAAGAGGTGGTTTTTAGGAATGGCATAACTGTGATCGGAGCTCATCTTGGGTCAAATATGGTACCAAGTTTGTGAATGCTCTGGTTCACCCTCAAAAAGCTGCCAGGGAAAAAGATGGCTAGGGAATAGGGTTTGTTGGAGAGCAAAGGCAATGGTTTTGGTTTTCCAAATATATAAATGGGAGAAATTCCTGCTCCTTTAGTATTAAATATTGAACAAGTAGTCTGGAACTTCAGAGACAGTGGTGAGGTTGAAAGAAGTGTCAGTGTTAATGTGAAAACTAAATGTGTTTTTGGTTGATGGTGTGAAGAAATAGGTGGAAGACCAAGGATAGAGCCTGGGCAGTAGTTTACCACTGTAATAGTGCAAGAGAAGGGGAAGAAGCCATTGCATTTAATTGAGAGTCAATAGATGTAAAGCTGGAAAAGCACAGCAGGTCATAAGCATTCCGAGAAGCAGGAAGGTCAATGCTTTGGGCTGAAATCCTTCATCAGAATGGGGGAGGGAGGGGAACCCAGAAGTAAATAGAGGGAAGAGGGTGGGATGCAGCTAGGGGGTTATTGCAATTGGTCAGTGGGAAGGGTGGAGTGGATAGGTGAGTAGGAAGATGGATAGGTTAGGTCAGGTCAGGGAGGCGAAGAGTAAATTGCAATTAATTTCCTGGCTATGTTTGGATGCATAGGAATGGAGCCAGGCAAAGAGCACCCCCGACCATCTAGGTGACTGTGAAATTGGCGGGAGGAGGATGGTGTGGTCAACCATGTTAAAAGTTGAGAACAGGCTGGAGATCAATGAGGTGGGATACTTTACCTCTGTCACAGTCATATAGGTTGTAATTTTTAATTATACTAAGGTTAATGGTGGTTAATTTTTGATAGATTAGTTTGATAAGATTTATTTGCAATCTTCATAATCTTTCAGATGTTTAAGAACATCTGAAGGATGCTCAATTAACTCGCAGATGTGGAGTTAAGTTAACCCAACTGGTATCATTGTGCATGCAAATGCAAGATTAGTTCAGTTGCACCAAACTGTAAACTACTTAAGTTTAGATGTTTTTTTTCACAAAATCCTTTCCCCAAAGTCCACTATGAATCCTCCAGTTACTTGGTTTATGCACAAACTCCAAGTGGCGATGAAGTGCTAATAGCACAAACCACCAAACCTTGGCATGAATTTCACGAAGTGTCTGACTGCCGATATAATACACCTTTCTCTACAATTGGACAGAAGGCACAGTCTTCCGCCAGAGAAAACCAGTGTCTACAACTACTGCCAGTACCAACTGTTGCATATCCATAAGACAGCTTCAAGCTCATGGTGACTCAACATTTCTTAGCCTGCAATGCATTTCTAAAAGCTTGTTTGAAAAAAAAATGCTGATTTCAGGTTTAATATAATTAAACAAAAAATAAAGTGAATGAAATAAGAAACAAAAACACACCTGTGCCAGGAGTTGCATAAATGAATCAACAATATCAGGATGATCCCTGGGTCCTAAAATATAATAAGATGTAACTTAAGAAATAATATACAAACAGCAAACCAATAATCTTATTGTTTCATGAACTCTACACACCAGTTACAGTGAGGGTGTACAATGAACAGCTTAAAGCAGTTAAATAAAAGAGAATGTACAGAAATATGAAACTTCAGAACCTAAAAGAAATAAACGGCAAAGAGAATTGAAACCCAGGTGTAGAGATAACAGATTAAAATGATGTGCTCTCTCTTCAAATTTGAATGCAAGACAGTATTCAAAAAACTGCAAACTCAATTCTATTAACCATCCCTTTTATTGTTTCTCCTTCCAAGAAGAATGCCATTTCCAACATGAAATTTTTATATCATTTGGGATCTCTGCTCTGACAATTTGCTTTTGAATAGAGTCTACAGTATTGAAAATAAAATAAGTTACAAAAACACATTTGTGCAGATCTGGAACAGATCACAGAAACCGCACGAGTTATTGTTTATGCTGGTAAATAAAATCTAACACTCCAACTGCAAATTGTTTTTAAAATGAGTCTTCATCCCTGTACTCATCTTTTTAGTTGTTGACAAAGTCATTGTAACAGTGTTTCAGCATGTCAAGTCATGTAAACAGAAATCTTTACAGTTAAATTATAGGATTCATAATAACAATGCTCACAAATGCAAAATTGGGCACATCGAATTAAAGTAGATTTCCATATCAAGTATATAAAAATACCTTTATTACACTAACAATTTATAATTTGTTGCTGATTAAAAAAATATCCTCATAGTTAGTGATCAAGCCGCATTATACATTTGAAGAGTAAGTAAGAACTGCTGATGCTGGAGTCAGAGATAACAGTGTGGAGCTGGAGGAACACAGCAGGCCAGGCAGCATCAGAGGAGCGGGAAAGTTGACATTTCGGGTTGGGATCCTTCTTCAGAAATTTCTGAAGAAGGGTCCCAACCCGAAACATCAACTTTTCTGCTCCTCTGATGCTGTCTGGTCTGCTGTGCTCCTCCAGCTCCATATTATACATTTGAAGCTTCTTTATCTAATTACTTAGCTGCAAAATACTGTTTTATGAAGTTATACCACAGCACACGTTTAGGACCTACAGCAGGTTTTTTTCTTGTTGAAACTAAATTACTACAGGTGCAAGGGTGTAAGGTTCCATGTTAGATGAAGAATTGAAGCCTTGGGTAAGCATTCACTAATAACTCAGGACAGATCTGGCAGATTAAATAAATGGACATGGATCACGAAAGGTACAATATAGAAGTGGCAGTCTAAGAGAAGATACATGTCTGCTGTAGTTTTTAATGGAACATGGTATCCAAAGAGAAAAATGGATGCTGGTTGGAATGTGGCAGCAGGAAAATGGGGATATGTAACAAAACAGAGTCTCAGATAGGGAAATGTGTAACAGAAGCAGCAAGCTTGATGGAAATAGGACATGAGAAGGAAATCAAAAATGTTGCAACAAAATGAATAGAACAGCAGAGAAAAGGAACAATGTTACATGTTTGGTACAAATGTCATTAGAAATTGTCAGTGCTACAGAAAAATCAAAAACATCCTATTTTAGCTGCCACCAAAATCTCAAATCATGCTCTCAATTCCACTGCTCTTCGATCACGTTAAAACACTGATCAAACCAATTATAATTTCAGCGCCCTGTGTAACGTGCAAATCAGTCTTGCATTTAATACTCTATTCAACACCAAGACTACATACGCTCTGCAAGACAGTCTGTTAATGCCTCCACTTTATTCAGCTTCCTGCATAGTGATTTGATATGAACTAGTGGCTTACTAGACATCTTTAGAGGGTAATTAAGAGAGTTATTTTGTGGCAGGAATCCAAGTGGTCAGACAGGTAAAGGCTAGTAAACTGGGTAACAACAATCTGATAGCCCCATTATCACTTTACAGATATCATAACATTGATTTGAATTCTGAAGTTGCAATGGTAGGATGTGACACGTGTTCTCTGAATCATTAGTCTGAAGTTTGGATTATTGGTTCAGTTACATAATCACAGCTCAATCACACTCCTTACAAGACAAAATAGGTTCTCAATTTCACATTGTCCTCAAAATGCTGCTGACAGCACCACAAAATAAATCCACCTCTGCCTCTTCTAGGTTGGGAGGAAGCTTAAAATTACAAATCTGCTATAATGCATCAGTGAAATAAGGATGAAGAGGGCACATGAACAAATACATTTAGTTTATAAAGTCAATTAAAAGATTCTTCAATGGCCAAGTATAAAAGCTACCTTGCAGCACAGTAGCAAGTCACAAAGTCCCAAATATGATTTTTGAACTCTGTTGAATGAACTGATTTTAACTGTGCTACAACTGCTCTCAGTACGCCTTGTGTGTTCAATATGTCTGTGAACACTCAGTCCACATTAACAAATTAAGAATAGCCACAATAGGCTCATCATGGAGGACAAATGCCACGTCCAAAACCACAGCACTCAATGAGATTTTGACAAAATCTAATACATCTTTTGGTACCATGTCCATGGAGATTTTCCATGAATTCATTTAAGGGATGATGAAAATTTCCCAGTGCGAGAGAGTTTGTTTGGAAAAATTACTGATTCAAGCCTCAAGGACCTATAGAATTGGAAGAAGTCTACCTTCTTCCAAGCAACTATTTGTTAATTCCTGGGGCTGCAGGAAAGAAGGTAATTGACTGCTCTGTTACTCAACATCACAGTGATGGTGCCCCCTGGATCCAGTGTTGTTTTGTAGTAATAATGACAAAAATGCATGATTCTATTCTGAGATTGGAGTCATTTCAACAGGCTTAACCTTACTTGCAGGTATTATTCAAAGGTTACTGTCAATTCTGGCAGAAAATTTTAAGTGACAAATGACTATGGGGAAGCAAGTTTCCATCAGATTTTCAAACAGAAACTATCTAAATTCAGGTGGACCAAAGAGCTGTAACACCTTTAGTAACTTGAAGGTGAATGGTTGGGAAGGGGAAAGAGCTGCAGACAGAAATGAAATTAAATGTCATCACAAATTAAAATGATTGTTGACACTGTTAAAAGTGAAGCCAACCAACCAGCTAATTTAGGTCAATTATACCAAAAACCATAAAGAACCAATTAACAATCAACTTTTACAACTTGATCAATAGAAATTGTGGCCAAATAACCCAGACTGTAATTTAAAATAAGCAGATGACCTTCACTGAGTTGCAAAATGGTAGAAGAACATCAATAGGTTCAATGTTTGACTCTATCAAAGGACACCTTTCAAATAACAGTCACTTTTAAAGAGTAGAGGCCAACTCAAAATTGTACTCATCTTAAATAAGGAATGCTTTCTCTTCAGCCAAGATTTCTGTATTTAACTGAGAAGAGACTGTTATGCACAATGGTCTCAGATCCATCACAGTGCAGAACTGACAAAGCATCAAAAACATGGCACAGAATACAGGACTGCAACGAACAGTTAATACAGTAATTTCATTTTGGGATTTGATGCAGAGGTTGACTTTACGTCATACATAGCCAACTACCAATACTTCTAAGGAAGATTACAAATTATATAGCAGGACAGGTAAACTCAGAGACAGACTGCAGATCTAAAAAGAGAGGAAGGGAGAAACACCTAGATAAGGCCAGCAGCAACTTCAGCAGGAGGAGGATCTGGAGACAGACAGCAGGATCCAAAATGAGTGAGAGAGGGAAAGCAGAGACAAACAGCAGTATCTAAAAAGGGTGGGAGAGAGGGGACCCAGAGATACAGCAATCCAGTTCAGAGGCTGTTCTGCAGCTTTAGAGTGGATGGACTGCATTCTGAGTAAAAATGAAGTACAACGTCAGAGTGAAAATGGTATTTTATTAGTTGATGAGTATTTTTCACATTCATCTTTGAAAGCTTGGCTAATCATAGTAACTAAGACGTTAACAGCAAAACCTACTAATAACAAAGTTTATTCATTGGCTTGTGAATACTTCCTATTTATTTAATTAAAATGTTCTTCAGGTGGTTTTCATATTTAAAAAAAATATTGTATTCCTGTTGGCTTTAATCTCTGAACACAGACCTTTCACCTTCACCTGATCTTATCCCAAACTGCACCTTATTTAATTTTTTTTTCCTGAGGAATGTCCACACATCCACATCTGAACTTTGATTTTCCTTGCTAATATTTTTAGTCTCCCTGCCTCAAAAGTATATCCTTCCCATCCTCTAGTATGCACGTGCAGCAGGCAGTGAAGACAACAAGCAAAAGGATTTGACAACAGGAGTAGGGATGTCTTGCTGAAATTGTACAGGGCCTTGGTGAGACCACACCTGGAGTACTGCGTGCAGTTTTGGTATCCTTACCCGTGGGTGGATGTTCTGGCTATACAGGGAGTGCAGACCGATGCCTGGGATAGCAGAACTGACATATGAAGAGAAACTGGACCAGTTAGGATGATATTCATTGGAGTTTAAAAGAAACCTATAAAATTAGATCAGGAATAAATAGGATAAATACAGGAAAGATGGTCCCGCTGACAACAAGTCTAGATCGGGGTCGCAGTTTAACTAACTGGGGCAAGCCATTTAGGGCTGAGATGGGGAGCAACTTCTTCACCTACAGAGTGTTGAGCCTGTGGATTTCTCTGACATGGAAAATGGTTGAAGTCAAAACATTGAATGTTTTCAAAAATGAGTTGGACAGAGGAATCAAAGGGTTTGGGGAAAAAGTGGAAATATGGTAAAGTTGGATGATCAGCCATGATCCCATTGAATGCTGCAGTAGACTGCAAGGGCTGAATGGCCCACTCCTGCTCCTATGTTTCTATGTTTCTTTCATCTGGATTTGTTCTTCAAAACTGCAGTGGAGTTCAAAAATTTCTTTGTTCTTTTCACAACAGAGTCCCCATAGTCGGCCAGTCTTGGACTTTCAATTCTGCATTCAACCAACTATCTGATTCATCAGCAATTGCTCTCCTGGTTTAAGGTGTGCCTTTTTTTTAAAAAAAAACAATTTCATAGAGAGAC